AGGAGGTATATGTTTGGAGTTACTGTTTCGTCAAGTGAGAACACTTTTATCCGTAAAATAATTAATATAGGTGGCTAAGTTTGGGTTTAGGCACTAGACAAAGAGAAATCTTATAGCTCTTTTGTAATGGGAACTCTGCCTTAAATTGGGAAAAAGAGGCTTTTAGGTGCTAAGAGGAGTAATGAGTGTTCTAAAGGCCTTTTGGGACTATCCTAAGACTAAGTGAATATGTGGAATTTTGTGGAGATTTGTTGAACAAAGAACCACCCACTCATGGCCTAATATGATTAAGTAAAAAGAAAGTCAACAATAAAGTGTGTGTCTTGTATATTTACATGGCATTATATCATTTTATTGAGTTTTGTGTTGAATTCCTTCTCTAGGTGTGCCTAGGGATGGTGAACATTTGGACTCTCGGAGAGCAAGATAAGTAGCTTGTGCTACAAGTAAGCGAATTGGTAAAGCTTCAAGAGGTAAGCTTTATGTTTAAGGAGTCTTTCCTGCTTGAGTGCCCCACCATGGTTAGTGAACTATGGTTGGATTGTATGATTGTATTTGATGCCTTGTATAGATGCATTCATATAGAGTTATGTGATAACATGATATGATTTGTTCTGATGTGATTTCTGTATTGATCTTTGGCCATTGATTTGTTTGTGCACTGATGTCTGCTTGGGGTCCTCCCTCGGGACTGACTGAGTACACCTTTGATGTGTTCTGGTTCCGCTTGGGGTCCTCTCTTGGGAACACATGCGTTGATTTTCGCTTGGGGTCCTCCCTTGGGAATCACTACGTATGCCTCTGATAAGATATGTATATATGCTTTGTTCTGTTATGATATCTGTTATATAATGCTTTATATACTCTGTATCTAACTTTCATGCAGGAGTGAGTCCAAGGATATGGAGAATTCTCTATAAACCTGGAGCTTATTGGGATTAGTTATCTCATCCTTTTTGGGGACATCATTTCAGGTGCACAGATTGGCGGTGCGCCTTCACAGGGCAGGGATACGACCTGTGGATAGAGTGCTTCGTGGACTGGATTTTGGGTAGCAGTATGCTACCATTATTTTGAGGATTGTTTATGTGTTTCAGTATTACATTCACTTTGAGGATCATGATGTCTAATCCGTTATTCTGTATATGGCCTGTATATGTTTTGTACATGTTTTCTGCTTTGATGCATGTACATCTGTGTATTCAGGCATGTTTATATTATGATGTAGTATTCAGTTATATGATTACATGTTGGATATGCATGTTGTTAGACATAGTGACACGGAGCCAAGTTATACATGCGCCCATAAATGAGTATATGGTCTTATATAAATATCTAATATTTTTGGAAGTATATATTGTATAAACTGTTTATTAGGATACCTTGAGAGTGAGATTTGCAAATCTCCGTTTGTCCAATTTACAGACGGTACTCTGTCTGATTTTCGTCTTCGTCAAATGAAAAGTAAACTAGAAGAAGTATGCAATGTAATATATCATGTGAAAAAAGATTAAAGAAAAAGAAAAAAAAAATTAGCTCGTATTTTCGTAAGTTAAGTCTTCCGCTATTTCTGTTAGTATCATATATATGTTAATTGAACTGGCTCGAGACGTGTATGTTACATATCCCCTGCTATATATATTAATATTATTTTTGGTATATTTCTTTCACTAAGAAAGGTGATTTATATCCACATATTTGGGAGAGAAACTTGTATGGCACGCATGCACAAAATTTAAAGCAAAGAAAGACAATCATCAAAACAAAACAAAAGGAGGAAAAAGAAACGAAAGAAAAGAATCACCAGAGAAGCATGTGTCACCGCGTGTGAGCGAGATTGGCTCACAAATTTGGACTTTCAAATTGTTGACTTCCACCATTTCATTTTCAGTTGCCGGTCACTCACTCACTCACTAGTCACTTCCATGTCGATTTTTTTTTTTTTTTTTTATACATACCATGTCGAATTAAACAATAAATATTATTCAAGGAATGTATTTTAAAAGGTACAATATTATCCATTAAAAAATTAATTATAAAAATAAACATTAATTATTTCATAATATTAATAACTTAATAATTTATTCTAAATATTATTGTAATTTTAAATTTAATTTATGATAAATCGTTATAAATTTACATTTTAATTTATAATAAATCGTTATAATTTTACATAATATATTTTGAAATACATCTTTTACTTTTGGATAGCACAATTTCTGAAGTATATATCGTAATTTCACTTCAAATATAAAGTTCCTAACTCTTTTGTTTAATTAAAAAATTCAGTTTATTTACTGTAGGTTTGTGTCTAGGTTATTGTGTCGTCTTGTAATCTTGATTTTGAGACTTTGCTCACGTGAGATTAGTTTAATTAACACTATCGTTTTGATGCCTGGGCTCTACTTTTTTATTTTTTATTTTTTAAAAAGAAAAGTACTGACTAAAAACAAGTAAAATCACAAAAAAAAAACTATTATTATTGAAAAAAGTGTGTGTCATTTTAAAGAATATAAAGTTATGTCATTTTAATAGAGAGAAAGAGATAGATAAAGGAGGAGAGAGAGTTGACAAAAAAAATAAAGGTGTGGGCCTCACCTCTCTCTGAGAGTAAAAGGATATAAGTTGTGTCATTTAAAAGGATAAACGATTTTCCCATTATTATTATAAAGTTTTACTAAAAAAATATAATTAAATAATATGAGGTTAAAAATTAATAGTTACAATTACAAAATAATCAGTATTTGTAAAATTGTATATTTATATTTGATTAAATAATAATAATTTGTGCTTACCAAAAAAATAATTTGTTAGAAAATAAGATCTCCACTAAAAGAGAGAATTTTGTTATGATAATATATAAAAGATAAAGCCCATATAGGATATCATTAATTCTATCAAATTCAAATCGATGCTGGATTTTCTTTTTATGATTCATACAATTTCTTGCAGTAAAAGTTTTAAACAATACATAAAAAAATCCCTTTATATAGTAATATCGATTAGAAGAAACCATAGAGACAAATTGAGTTTAAAAATAATAATTTCCATTTGAATTTGTAGATAACATATTATCAATATATGACAAAGCTTTTTTTTTTTTCAAAATAAAAAGTTGTGCGAATTGATTATTTCACCGTTAAATTTGACAAGTAATTATAATTATATATTAAAAATAGCACAGAATTTTGGCTTTTAGTATAAATAATTAACGATTAAATTTATAATTATCATTGAATTAATTTCAAATTAACGATTAAATTTATAAAAAAATAAAAAAATTAATGATTAAAAAATAAGAAAAATTAATTATTATTGATTTTAAATTGATCCAACGGTAATCAATTAAATAATAAGAATAATAAATCTATAATAATAATATATATAACCTTCCTCTTAATATAAATTCAAATTCAAGATAAACATTATTCTTAACAGTTTATTCATTATTCAAACAAATTTTAATATATAATTTATTAAAATTCAGTGAAAAATATGTTGCTCTCCATGCATACTATTTATAATCTTTAACAGGGATAATTCGTAAAAAAACGCGCTTGCGTGTCATTTTAACTAGGACTATGGCTTTCTTGTCAACAATGAAAAAGTGAACGGAAACACTTTAGTACTTTAAAAAGAAACAACATTCTCTTTCCCTCTCGTTTCCGGCAAAGTAACCGACACAAGATAGCATACATTCTCGGGAAAGCCCAAAAAGCCCTTCTGTTACCATCCCTGAATTTCGTCAATTTTTAAACTTAAACACGAGTTTCATGGAGTTAGTTTCACTTTCTGCATTGATGTTTTACATTTATTGGTTTTCCAATTTCCACCACCTTAATATTAAAAGTAATTTTGAAAAAAAAAAAAAAACACGGCACAACTAAATTTGCCAAAAAAAATATAACAATGCAACCAAAAGAAAAGCAAGTAAAATATATAGTAGATGAATATAACATTTATTCAACTTCTTTCGGCCACCTTATTTACGGAATACGACTCCAAATGCTAGTTTCGAGAAAGAAAAATGAAACTAATCTCCAATTAAAAAAAAAAGACATGTATTCTATCCAAAAATTTTCCAAGAATTTGTTTCTGACAATGTTGTTATTACTTTATTGCTTATTAAATAATTAATGCATCTTTGTTTATTTAAATTGGTTTTGCAAAGAATGTTATCCCTTTTCTTTAATTGCATTAATCAGATTTTTACAGCATTACTTTTTTTGCTTAAATTGATATTTTCAATGATCGATACTTATTTTCGGGCATTAAGAGACTTCCATATTTTTTAAACATTATGAAAAAAATAAATTGAAACTTATTGCGAAAATTGTTATTAGAATAGAATTATTCATGAATTAAATTACATTTCATTTATATCGGCAACTAACATGAGGTAAACAAACAATATTATGGCTATTTTGTTTAATATAAACTACATCTAATAAGAAACAAGTTGTTACGCATAATTTGTTTAATATAAAGCATTGAGGTGGTGTTTGGTTTAGAGCTTTTCAAGAGATATTTATGTTTCTCGAGTATGACTTTTAGAAACACCATATTTGTTTCAACATATTTTCACCAAAAACTCATCTGTTCAATTTGTATAGATTTATGAGACATAGATATCCGCACTGTTTAGAAACCCAGTTTGAAGGTGAGATTTTTTGGAAAATCGGTGATCTCACTTTTAATGCACTGTTAATTTCATAAAGTTACCTAATTTTTTCAGTAAAGTTTTTTCCCACCAAACAACTTTTTTTTACAATTTTTTACCTATCTTACTTTATCTCACTTTCTAATCATTTCTTTATCTATCTCATTTTTCTACTATTCTAAAAAATTTTCCCCCACCAAACCCTCCGAAGACTAACTCACTTCTATACATTTGGTGGAGAGAACAGTGTACGAAGAAGGGCATTATCGTCCCAGAAATAGAAACACTTACGAAGCTAAAAAGGAAAGAAACAACGGTGAAACATAAAAAGTACCATAGCCCCTATCTACTCGAAAAACCTCATAAACCCCTTTGTCTGACTCTAACACATACAAAAACTTCAACCTTGAAGTTGAAGCTGCTCTTGTTTTCAGTCATATATATATTTATATACACACACAGAGAGAGAGAGAGAGAGAGAGAGAGAGAGAGGGTTTGTTTCAACGAGGAAATGGCGATTCATCTTCCGGATTACTTCAAATGTCCAATCTCTCTAGAAATAATGTCCGACCCGGTTATTCTCTCTTCGGGTCACACCTTCGACCGTTCCTCAATCCAACGGTGGTTAGACGCCGGTCACCGGACATGTCCAATTACCAAACTACCCCTCTCAGACAACTCCTCTCTCGTCCCAAACCACGCCCTCCGAAGCTTAATCTCCAACTACACACTCCTCTCCCCTCTCCACCAGAAAATTTCCCAACCCCAAACCCTAATTTCCACCCTCACCTCTCAATCCTCAACCGCCGATTCCAAAACCGAATCGCTCCGCCAACTCACCCGCCTCTCCAAGCGCGACTCCGCCTTCCGCCGCCGCCTCGCAGACTCCGGCGCCGTCTCCGCCGTCCTCTCCTGCGTCGACTCCGGCGAACCCGCGCTGCAGGAGAAGGCCCTCTCCCTTCTCCTCAACCTCAGCCTCGACGACGACAACAAGGTCGGCCTCGTCGCCGAGGGCGTCATAGCCCGCGTCGTGGCTGTCCTCCGCCGCGGCGCATCGCCGGATTGCCGCGCGCTTGCCGCGACGGTGATCACGAGCCTCGCAGTTGTGGAGGTGAACAAGGCCACGATCGGCGCGTACCCGGAGGCGATGGAAGCACTGGTGGCGATTCTCCGGGATGGTAAAGGAAGGGAGAGGAAAGAAGCTGCGACGGCACTTTACGCGGTGTGCTCTTTCCCGGATAACCGGCGGAGAGCGGTGGATTGCGGCGCGGTGCCGATTTTGCTGAGGAATGTTGATTCTGGGCTTGAGAGGGGTGTTGAGGTTATTGGTGTTTTGGCTAAGTGTAAAGAAGGAAGAGAGCAAATGGAAGGTTATGATGGGTGTGTGAAGATTCTAGCTCGGGTTTTGAGGGATGGGAGTTCAAGGGGGATTCAGTATGCACTGTTGGCACTCAATTCACTTTGTTTTTATAGTCAGGAAATGGTTTTGATTGCGCTGGAAGAAGGGGTTTTGGAGATTGCTGTTGGGTTGTTGGAGGATGATAATGAGAAAGTGAGGAGAAATTCGTCTAATTTGATTCGTGTTCTAAGGGGAAACCACAATCGTTTAAGTTGATTATGGAAAGCTTAAGTTTTGATAACAATAAGATTTGAAGATTTGATTTTTGTCCTCTGTGGAGGTGAGTTGTGTTTTTTTTTTTTTTTTTTTTTTTTGTGTTTATTGATTCTGCCTTGTTGGGTGGATCCTCTGTACAAAATGGAAAGATCAAATTTTTGTTGTGAATGTGATAGGGTTCTTTTGTATCTTGTATATTATTGAATAATGATGATGGCTGGCTCTCTGTTGTTAGCCTAGCTGTTTATAATGGGAAAATTGCTGATTGATTCTTTGAATTGTTGTCCTTCATGGTTCGAAAATTTCTCCTCGTTTTCTGGCAATTCAGCTATACAAAGTTGACACTGACGTCTTGTTTCCAAGTTGTTTTCCATATACGTCTTTTCGTTGTCTCAATCCAAACATTAATGTGCGTTTGACGAAGTTAAAAGAAAAAACATTGCTCTGGTATTTGCATTTTCTGCATTTTGAACACTTTTATGAGGCACGACTTCTAAAATTATTTCATTGAGCCATAGCTGCCTTGGATGGTTGATTTTTACCATAATGCTCAATAACTATTATTGTTTATGTTAATAGGAGATCAAAATTTTCTTTTGCTCGTGAGATATTCTTTAACCTGGAGGATATTGACTTGCAAGTCAGTTTTCTATTCACTTCTCACCGTTCTAAAATCTGTTACAAAGTAAGCAATAAGTTATTCCCAAAATATGCAAAAAAACTCTCGTTTTCTTGAATCGTTACACACATGTACAGTTAAAGCTTTTAGTTTTATATCCATTAGTATTGTGTTACGCAAATATATATACATCAGGACTTCGAATCGTTCTTGCGACTTGCATATAAGCACGGATGAAATTAATTCCTAATGAATGAAATTTTAGAAACCCATCTCATATAATTAATGCTCAAATTTTTAATACTTTTAAGATGCCAGAGTTTTTATTTTTGCGTGTTCAAGAACAAATAACAATGTTGGTCTACCAATTTACGAAAAGATATGTTTTAATAAATCATGATGTATGTAAATGTTCAGTTTGTCCGTGAAAGTTTTGACTAAAGAATCTTTCAGATATATACAATCAATATACCAAAATTGAAAATGTCAGCAGCATTATACAGGTACATTAGTGGAATAATTAGCAACATTCCTTGGATCTGAGCATAAAAGGTTGCAGGAGAACCTTTTTTACCCCCAAATACACTGGTTGTAAATTTTTTTCAAACTTGTGATTTCTGTTTAGATGGTTCTGTATAATGGTTGTCATTTTACTTCACTTTTCTATCAATCTTCTCTTTTAAATTGTTTTTTTCCTGGACTTCTGTTTGATCTGTAAGAATGTAATGCTGAGTGGTGTTAAGACAGGCATCTGTCGTTGGGAATTCTTTGCGTATCCCTCTTTTTTAATAAATATTTGGCTTTTATGTTACTGTTATAGTTGTGACTTTTAAAGAACATTTGATTGGCTGTTTACTTTCAATATGGGGTAGGTACTTGAAGTGGAAGGGGACGGATGGTTTAACTTTAATCTGAAGCATTTTCTGCATTTTCTTAATTCTTCACAGGATATGTTGGACAAATTGGGTACAAGACCCTGCATCATGTGATCAGTACTGCTTTATGAATATTGAAGTGTGTGGATAGGTAGTTGGTGGATTTAGATTATTTCACGTGAAAAATTGGTTATGTGATTATCTTATTTGATCACAATCATTTATTGATGATGAGATAAAAAGAAAAAAATATAGAATTTTAAATGAATGATTATGATTAAATAACATAAACACGTGATTATTTTTCATATGAAAAAATCCAAATCCGTAATTATGATGTAGCATAGAGAGCTTCACACATGTAATCTAATTGCCCTTGTCCTTTATCTACTTCTAATAAAGGTATTGTCTTGGAGTTAGGGAGGAGTTATTAATAATTGGTCCTTTGACAACTTTCTCCAGCATCAAAGTACATTCACACGGGCTTCAGTGGTTTGTGCGCATGCCATGTTGTATATGTTAGTTATTAATAATGAGAATATAGAGGCCAAGTCTACCTTTAAAGACTTTTTCTCCGTACTAAATAAGCTGTAATTGCTCTGTCCATTGCGACATTACCAAGTTTTCTCGGAGAAACTAACTGAAGATTGATAATATGTTCAGGCAGGTGTTATCTGCCTTGTGGTTTAAAAGAACGAGCAATTCTTTGTGATTTCTACCATACTTCCCAACCTGCGCTTGAAGTTACTAGTTTAGTTGTCACATTTTACAGAAGATTTCATCATGAATTTATCTTTGGTTTCCTTATATATAAAATGGGTTTTATAATTCTTATTTAATATGAGAATTACAATTTTTCTACACACCCTTCGATTTTCGTGCTGACATAAGTCCTACATATAATTTTTTTTAACACACGAGTCTCACATGTTTTTTATCTCTACAACATGAGATTTCAATTCTCCTTCAATATGAGAATTATAAAACCCATATGAAATACTACGGATGTATGCTTCATGACTTGTTGATGGAGATTGTCAAGTTTTAAAACTCTATTTGATTTTGATTTATCTGTCACGATAATTGTTAGGTCAACGGCCCTTCTTTTTCCCTAGCATTTTATAGCTTTCTTGATATCTTTTGATCCTTTTCATGCCTCCCCCTCTTATTTCCCCTAATTTTTTTTATTGCTGAACGATTCCTTACCTACTGAAGGAGGCAAAGGGGGTTGCTAAAATTAATATATTGAAATTTGAAAAGAGTTGCTTCGGGGGCTGAAGTTGACTTGGATTTGTTTTATATTGGGAACCTTAAAAGATAAAAACAAATTTTAATGCAATTTTCTGTTATACTATATTAAGCAGGTACATTCGGATTATGATTGCAATGATTATTAAGAATTCTCACTAGTGTCCTTGCTTTCGCTATTTACAATGTCTCGCTCACAATTCTAGGTGATGCTTGCCGGATTTGTGAACCGTGTGCTTCTCCATGTTCATAGAATTTTCTTTCAACATTTTATATGTTATCGTGTTACTTCTCAGATGCTTCCCCGATTAGAAAATTAATATGTATAATGTCTTATTTTAAATTTAATAGTTGGAAAATGTAATTTCGAAACAGTACTGAAAACATGTTAGCCAATTTAAGGTGAGATTGATTGTCTGTAGATTTTAATAAAATGCTTGATTTCGATTCATTATTATTGTTGAAAAATCATATGATGTTTATTATTTCTTATACTATTAAATATTACCGCTGCAAGTAATTTTATTTTAATATTATTTTGTTTATAAACGATTAGTGTATTTTTACTTTTAACATTATCTTTTGGTAAAACTACCTTGACATTGTTTAAAGTATTAACTTAGGTATATATAGTTGTATTAAAACTTCGAAGCTCAAAGTATCGAACCCCTATATTTAAGGGAAAAATTTCTAGTGAGAATCTTATGTCATGTAGAATTTAGAGCTATCTTATTGCATTAATTAAATTGACCAATCATAAATATGCATATTGCGTATGGCTAAAAATACATTCATATTGTTATAAAAAAAAAAAAAAAAATACATTCATATTCATACCACGTGAGTTAATGCCATCCACTTCCTGGGAGTGCGGACTAAAACCCCAATCGTACGTCAGGAATCTAGTTTCTGAGAAGTCACTTGAACAATCTCATTATCTGGAACTGGGAGGCATCCCCCACAAATTTACGCCAATATTTGGTGGAACCTCAAATTTAGTTGGATTAGTGCAACCGTTAACGTGGCAGCTTTTGGATCATTATATTAAAAATGAATCTGACATATTCTTTCTAGCAAAATTTAGCTGTCTAAATTTACTACATTTATTTTCCCTCAGTTTTCAAAAACAAAAAAATTACTACATATGTCCGTTGACCGAAATGGTGCTTGTTTCGCAGACCTCTACTATTCACTATCGAACCGTCCGAGAGTAATTAAATTTGATTATACTCGGTTAAGTCTGGTTCAAGTTAATGGACTAGATTATTTATTTATTTTAGTAGGTAATGGACTAGATTATTGATTCTGAGTATATCAACTACTCAACTACATGAGATGACATTTCCAGGATAATTATCCTGGGTACTTGCAAGAGACTTTGACGCTTAAATTAATATGTGATTAATGAGCTTAACTATATTGGAAGAAATAATCATACTTTGACTTTGAATCTCTCTTTTGTAGTAGTGATATGACATGTTTGTTGTTTTATCATGCTGCCTTAGTATGGCGACATGTCTCTCATTGGTGGATTATGGTGACTTTGTCAGTGTATCTCATCTGCAGGATGTTTGTTAAAGGGCTATGGCCTATGCATAATTTCAATTGGGGTGTTCATCAACCGATCCAAACCGATTCAAACCGCGGTGATCGAACCAAAAAATTGATAACCTAATAAATCGAAAACCGAAAAACCGAAAACCAAAAAAAATCGTAACTTTTAATTGGATTGTATCGGTTTTTGGATGGGTCGATGAAAACTGATCCAATCCAAACTGATTGAATATATTAATTACCCTCTACCTACTTGGGTCTTTCTCCAATCTTAGCCCAAAAATTTTTAAACCCAAGACCCATTGGGTATCAACTAAACCCAAGAAAAAATATAATCACATCTCATCAACAAAATTTTATCTTTGTAGACCTTCATATCTCATTGCCCAAAAAAAAAAAACTATATTATAGTTTACTAATGCTTTTGTATTTAAAAAATAATAATTTACAAAGCCAATATATACAACAGATGTTATTTGCATAATAATCATGAAATAAATTTTAGGATTTTCAAAAAACCGAAAACAGATCCAATCCAAACCGGAAAAAATTGGATTGGATCAGATTTGAAAAAAATCCAAACCGAATGGATGATTATACGATCAAACCGAAGGGATTGGATCATATAATTTTTGCTTTCAAAACCGATCCAATCCAGACCACGAACACCCCTAAATTTCAACCTTGAGCCCATTTTTTAGCCATTGGCTATTAAGGAGGCTTATCAATCCTATGATGTTGTCATTCTAATTGTGCGTTCCCTAGTTGTGTATATGCATGATATATGTATTTTCTTATTGACTAAGTTTATGTCTTTAGGTTTTTGGGCTGGATCCTTTATCTCGTTTAGTATGGGTCAAGATCAACTATACGCCTATGATATTTTTTGAGATTGAGTCGTAATTGGTTAAAATACAAAACTATAAATCTTAAAGGAAGAAATGTGCTTTGGT